TCCAGCCGGGGCTGGGCAGAGAGGAATGGTCCAGACTCAAGCCAACAGGCAGGAGACCAGAGGGACCTAACGAGAGGGAAAGCCAATCTGGAGGTAAAAGACTGTCAGGATGGGAGAGGAAGTGGCTGCCTCGACATTTTAGCCAGTGCCTTGGGCCATCAGCACTAGTCATAATACGGTAAGAAGTACAGAGAGGTTTAGAGCACAGGCTCTAGATGCTTACCCTTGTGGCTAATAGTGGCCGAAAGCTGCATGAGGGGGCTCTTGGGCTTAGGATGTTTGTTTCTTGATCTGTGTGCTGGCTGTACTCAGTTTATGAATTCATCGAGCTGTACATGAATACTTTTTGGCAGGTAAAATTTAATAAAAAGTTTTAAAATTGAAGAGGAGCGTAGAGTCTGGAGTCTGAGAGACTGGAATCAAATCCCTTTTCTACCATTTATGAGTTGTGCAATTTGGGGCAAGTTAAAGAATCTCAGTTCTACTCACAAATTTTGTTGTGACTATAAAATAACATAGTATGTGTAAAAACATTAAAGAATCGTGTGTTAAATTTTAGCTATAGATGCTACAGAAAACTCAAGTAAGGTAAGGACTGAAACATGCCCATTAGCTTTAGAGTTTGGGTTGAACAGAGTGAGAGCCATTTCAGTGTAGTGATGGGGGAAGGATGGACTACAGTGTATTGAGGCATGAATGGAAGGGGAGGTGGTAAACAAAGTGAGTAGAATAACACATAAGAGCTTGTCTCCGGAAGAAAGGAAAAAGGCATGGCAAGATGATTTTTTTTTTTATTTCTTTCATTTTTATTTATTTTTAAGAAAGGGAGCATATATGGAGTTAAAAGCTCAGTTGATTTGTGAGCCAGGGAATTAGTGAGATTACAAGTCACAAAGTTGTGTATTTCTCTTTAAAGTTGCCTACAAGTACAAGTGTAATCTTGGAGAAAAGAGAGGAATACATTCATCTAAGATGAGGGCTTTCCAGGCTGGTGTAGCAGAAGGACAAGGAGACAAAGAAATTGACGTTGTTGGGTAGAGAGAGAAGTTGAAGTGTTCAACCATGCAATTTAGGTTTGCTGAAAAATAAAGTGAAGTCAGGTAAATTTGGAGAAAAGGTAGGAATTTAGGAA